GCACCGAAGCACCGATTGGATTTGGCGATTTGGCGAACCCCTTGGCTCTGAGGCTTTGCTGAGCCCGCACTGACTCCTGGTTGCCTTGTCCGCGGGCGGGCCTTGAAAGGAGTGAAAGGAGACCAGTGCCGGGACCAGTTCAAGCGGCGACTCGACTATTTCCCGCCTCACACACCCCTCCCCCTGAGCGATCCTCGTGAAGGAGGGTTCTCTCCATGGTGCTTGGGTCTCCCCAAGAGAGGGTCCTGATCCGGCCAAGGTTATCATTAGGAATGACTGGGAAATGGCAACCCCACTAATAAAGCATTAAAGACTCAAAGTCTTGAAAAATGTGTTGTCTGTAAGAGAAAATAAATGTCAGCTAAAAACCTCAAGGTGTGTAGCCCATTAACTTTAGGTTTTAACAGTTTTCAGACAGAAGCCTTAATTAGGCTTGTCACAAGTCCCCACTTGTAGGGAATTCTGTGCTTTGTAATAATGCAGATGAAGGGTTTTGTTTCTGTCCTTTAATGCTTAGTAAGTTTTTTTGTATAATCCGCTTTTATGTTCCTCTGTTGAGAGCTTGTATTTTAACATTCTCGCTTTGTTCTCTTATCTGGATCTTGAAGGAGAAAAAAAAAAGGGTAAAAAAATTAAAATATTTGGGACTTAAGTCCGGGTACATTCAACTTTCGAAAATATCCTCATGGATTCTTTTAGAATGCTTGCCTCAGTATGAGAGCCAAGTATGGACAACTTACTGTTTGCATCGTGTTCTTCTTTAAAAAGTAACAAGTTGTCCTTTATAAAAAAGATTTAATTCCTTGTAATTGTAAGCTAATTTATTTAGATGGTTAAAATATTAGTTTAAGCACCTGTTCTTTTTTACCTTAAGCTCCAGTTTGGTATTAGATGTGTTGCTGTCTATTTCATGACCAGAAATATCTGGCTGTTAGGTGATTCGTAAACCTTCCTGAAATATCTGAGGTCCAAGTCTGGCTCTCAGCTCTTAACCTGGGGACAGTTTCCATCATAGAGTTCTCATAGCCATGTTTCAGGGATAAGGGATGCCAGTTCATGGCATCATCCTGTATATCTGGGCATCATCATAATGTGAAGTGTCATTCCAGAATGATTTCATGAGAAAGGCCACCTGAGATGTTGCTACTGCAAGCACATTGTATCTTTCTCTTGTTAATGACAGTTTTTTATATTACTTGTGTTCAGAGTTCCCTTAAATCAAGCATGTTAAAGAAATAATGGAGAGGTGCCTGGGTGGCTCAGTCGGTTAAATGTCCAACTTTGGCTCAGGTCATGATCTCACGGTTTGTGAGTTCAAGCCCCGCGTGGGGCTCTGTGCTGACAACTCAGAGCCTGGAGCATGCTTCAGATTCTGTGTGTGTCTCTCTCTCTGCCCTTCCCCTGCTCATGCTCTATCTCTCTCTCCCTGTCTGTCAAAAATGAATAAACATTAAAAAAATAAAAAAGAAATAAAGAAATCGTGGATATCATTTTGGTTTGGGCTGTATAACTTTCATCTTCTGATTACAAACTTGTAAACTTATATTATGCTTATCAGTAATTTTAATATAAGATATAAGAGAGTATTTGAAGCAAGAGAGGAATTGCTTTATTATTGGTGACTGAGAAATAGTAAGGTACGTTGAAAATGCTGCTGGCAAGTCAAAGGACACTGATAGCATTAACATACATCATGAGTTTTCTGGAGAGAAAGTTTTATCTGGCCTTTGGGTTAGCAGTGTTATTCTTTGTTTTTAAAAGGCTGCCATATTCACTTGAGCTTCATGGGAAAGATGCAAATAACTAGAAGCAAACTGAACAAAAACCATGTTGAGATCAGGAACTTATTTCAAGAAAGCAGATTATAGGTCTTCTTCTAAAGTGAATGACACTCCTGTGCCTTAAGCCTCCTGCCATGTACAAGTATGTCAACAGCACAGCAGCCAGGAGTGTTGAGCAGTACCTGTGCTGGCTACTGACCAGTATAATATCCAGGGCTCAGATGTCACCCAGAGACTGCTTTGCTGTGTTCTACTGATTCTGTTTCGGGATGAAGAAGTACACCATACGTTTTAGTGTTGTTTTCATCAAAAGTCCCTCTGTCGTTTAAACTTCAGTTAATAGAAATCATTTGTTTTCCCCAGTGGTACTGAAGAATTAACTATTTAAGCAATCAGCGAATTGCTTAGCTAGATCAGTATCGTGTGGTCGGCATGCTACCCATGCAGAATACATAGCACTTGGACCTACCACCGCCAGAACTGAGACCTGCTGAGGGTGTCCTATGCTTTAGAAAGTTGAAGAGGAGAGTCTGGACAGCATGTTCTTGATCAGTTTTCACCTTAAACCTCCTGCCTTTTAAATTTATTTTAATGTTTGTTTATTTTTGAGAAAGAGCGTGAGCAGGGGAGGGGCAGAGACAGAGGGAGACACAGAATCTGAAGAAGGTTCCATCCAGGTTACCTACTGTCAGCACAGAGCCCGATGCAGGGCTCAGACCCACAAACCGTGACATCATGACCTGAACCAAGTTAGACGCTTAACCAACTGAGCCACCCAGGTACCCCCAAAACTCCTGCCTTTTAGACACACTAAACTGTTGCTGCCAAGTAAGCCTTTTCCTGAAACTCTCTGTAACGTAGGAGAGAGAATGCTGCCATTCAAAGTTGTAGTATGATAACAGAGGAAAATGGGTGGGAAGGAAGACCCCCAGAGGAAAAAGTGCCCAAACATGGGGCCTCCAGAGAAAGTCATTGTACAGAGGCTGGATAGGCTTCACAGTTTCATTGGCAACAAAAAATACATATTCTGCCTACTATGGACGGGACACTGTTCCGGTTACTAGGAAAAGAGGATGTGGCCAAAGCAGTCATCTGTCTTTATGGAGTCCATGTTCTACGGAGGGGACAGTGGGAACCCAACAGTAAACAAACAAGTAAATCTACAATCTGTCAAATGGTCATAAGTAATATGGGGAAATAAAATGGAAAGGACAATAGGGGGTGCTCTTCTGGGGGGTAGCATGTAGTTTTTCTATAGGGCATCAGAGTAAGTCTCGCTGTTTAAGGTTACATTTGAGCAGAGATGTGAAAGAGTAAGGGGGAAAGCCATGGGCGGGGGGAAGGATTCCAGACAGCTGGAGCAGTGGGTGGAAAGGCCCTGATGTTGGTATACACTTGGCGCTTTGAGGGCACAGCACTGGAGGTGAATTTGGCTAGAGAGGAGTGAGCAGTGGGAGAGCAGAGACGTGGTAGGGGATGTGGCCAGATGGTGGACAGCCGCATAGACCATTGGATAGACTTCCACTTTGGCTCCAAGTGAGATGGAAAGCCACAGGAGGATTTGGGCCAGAAGAATAACTTGAGCTGACCTAGGTTGTGACACTGTTACTCTGACTATAGAGGTAAATAAATAGAAAGTAGGGGACCAGTTAGGAAGTTATTATAATGATGCAAATGGGGGACGGTCAAGACTTTAACCAGGTGGTAGCAGTGAGCTGATGAGGATGACACCAAGGTTTTGGGCTCATCTAGAAGGATGGGGCTGCCATCTACTTCAATGAGGAGGCTGTGGGAGGAGCAGGATACAGGGGTGGTCAGGGGTTTCTCTTTGGATGTGTTAACTTTAGAATCTTCCAGATGCCTCTTAGGCTGGAGTTTTGGGGTGGTCCTTTGGACTGCCTGGCCTGCAGATCCAAGTTGGGGCTGGAGAGCAATAGCTACTAGGTAGGAGTCACTAGGGTCTGGATGGTATTTGAAGCTGTGAAATTCATCAGAATCGCCTCCAGAGTAACCACAGAAGGAAAAGCGAGGAGAGGTCTGGGTCCTTCATCTCACAGAGATCATGGCATTGATTCCGAATTCATAGAGAACAAACAGTTAAAAATTTTCCTAATGTCCTGTCCCTCATGTTTTGAGACAGCTGTACTATATAATAATTATTCCTAAATTTCCTTTTTTTTTTTTAAGTGTGTTTTACTTGATCAATTGCTGATGTTTAAAATTGATAGGTGTAGTTTTGGTCTAGAAATCTGACTTATCTGGAAGATAATTTCAAACAAGGGCAACATTAAAAGAGATGTTTGCAGTGCACCTGGGTGGCTCAGTCAGTTAAGCCTCCGACTTCTGCTCAGGTCATGATCCCATGGTTTGTGGGTTCGAGCCCCACATTGGGCTCTGTGCTGACACCTCAGACCCTGGAGCCTGCTTCGGATTCTGTGTCTCCCTCTTTCTCTGCCCCTCCCCCACTAGTACACACACTCCTTGTCTCTGTCTCTTTCTCTCTCAAAAATAAGAAAACATTAAAAGAAATGTTTGTAGGGGCACCTGTGTGGCTCAATCAGTTGAGTGTCTGACTTTGGCTCAGGTCATGATCTCACAGTTCGTGGGTTTGAGCCCCACATTGGGCTCTGTGCTGACAGTGCAGAGCATGCTCAGGGTTCTCTCTGTCTCTGTCTCTCTCTCTGCCCCTCCCCCACTCAAGTTTGTACACGTGTGCACATGCTCTCTCTCTCTCATGATAAATAAACATGAAAAAAAAAAGATGTTTGCAGCCATGGAAACTTGAGGTCTCAGAAGTAATTATTACTCAAGATAGAAGGCAGTAGGGGGGCACCTGGGTGGCTCAGTTGGTTAAGGGGCCAACTTCGGCTCAGGTCATAATCTCGCAGTTGGTGGGTTCAAGCCCCACACCGGGCTCTGTGCTGACAGCTCAGAGCCTGGACCCCGCTTCAGATTCTGTGTCTCCCTCTCTCTCTGCCCCTCCCCTGCTCATGCTCTGTCTCTCTGTCTCAAAAATAAATAACGTTAAAAAAATTTTTAAAAAAAGGCAGCAGAAGTCTAGTGTGCACTTTTCACCATCATTTCTTTTTGAAAGTCTCACTTTGGGTTGTGATTTCATGGTAGGCAAATCTGGTGAAAACTTGGAGGGTGTAGTATTAGTAGGCTATCAGTTCTGTCACGCTGCACTTTAAATTCTCTTTTTCCTTTTGCCTTTTCTAGCCAATATTTGCATTTCTAAATGAAGAAAAGTTTAACGTGGATGGATGGACAGTTTATAACCCAGTAGAAGAATACAGAAGGCAGGTAAGTCAACAGGTGCTACAGCAGGTGGTAAATCTCAAACGCGCATGGTGACACTATGTTGTCAGTCATACTCAGAATCAGTGAAATCCTTGCTTAGTATATTTTTCGTGGCAGTTATAGCTCATTTTTTCGATTACTGTGTGATTTATGAGCTCATTCCCTAGCAATATTCAAGTTGCATTGAAGGCTGAGTAGCCAAGTTCTGTTTCCTTCTGGTACATGAACAATGTCGGTTGTATGTTGTTCATAAAATGAATCAAATACGTGGGGTCTAGAAAAGTCAGACTTCTATACCTTACTATTGAGGCATTCGTGTCACTATGTATTTACACATTTGGGAGCATAACTATCACTGACAGCTAAATTTAAATTATATTTATTCCACTTTGCAGATTGAAATGAATTAGGACTGTTTTCCTATAATGCTGACTTTTCCAACAAAGCTTTGATGAACCTATATTAGAATAGCTTTTACTGCTCTCTTCTGTAAACTTCACCTGCATGCATGTTCATTTACTGTAATAAAGGCAAGAGGCTTGGTACAATGTTGCTGTTCAGGGACAAAGGTCTCTTGTGGCATGTTTTGTGAAGAAGAGCCAATGTGTATTATGTAACAGGAGCCACAATTTGACCTGTGGTTTAATCAAGTTTTTAGGCCAGGTAGGAGTTTTGTGATGGAGGTTTTCATAGTCCTCAAACTACAAAGCTCTTAAAATAATTGGGAGCATTTGCTGAGTGAACTGTGAGACTCCGATGGAGCCCAGTTGCTTTATATGAAAAGGCAGTGAATGTAAAGTAAAATTCTAGGACCCTAGACTCGAGGAGAACCTTCTAGCCACCACCTCCACTACCAAGCACCTGGGTTGATTATTCTTTCTAGTCTTGATCGGCGGCATACATATTCATAAGCAGATTCAACGCTCAGGAATGTGGGTGTGGGAGTTTAGATCGCACATAGGAAGTAGGGCGTCCTGTGCTTCCAGAAGTCCGCTTTAGACTGGTGGGTTTTCAAAGGCTGTATATGTGTTTCATTTTAATGATCTCTGTTCTGGGTCAGATCTTGAGGCAGAAGAAAGACCATTGAAACATTTTGCATGTTTTGGAGGCCTCTGTAGCATTATGTATTTAAATATTTGTACCTTAGTTTTGGAGTGTTATGGACAATATTAAGACTTATTTTGTAGGCCAATGTTTCTAGCTTGAAACAAAACAGTTCCTGTTTTTCAGATTGCATGCATATATGAACTGTTGAAGGTATCTTGTTCTAGACTGCCATTATATTTCATCTTTTCTTCTTATAACTTTCTCATGGGACTTATAACTCTCTAATTGGACTCAGCATCAGACTCACCTGTTTGGTCCGTGGTCTATAGGACCAGACCTAAGGAAAAGGTACAATGTCTGTCCCCACAGCAAACACCCACATAGCTCACCTTTGTGTGTGTATTTGTGTATTTGTGAGTATGGGGAGAGAATATTCCACCACCTCTGGATCTTGTCCATACGCGGTTTTGTGGGTAGCTGGCAGGATGGCAAGTGTATTCCGTGTCTCCCTGTCACGTTAGCCATCTGCTTAGAATGCAGGTGGCTGTATTTCTCACAGAGCCTACGGAGTGACCGCCAATCCCAAACAACTTGGTTGAAAACACTTTTAGGAGGTGGCGAAATGAGCCTCCCCAGAGGGGTTTTCCTTTACTTCCCCTCTGTGACTTTCTGCATAATCTTAGCCTCTTTCTACTTTGGAGCAGACTGAAGCATTCACTCTCTTTTGAGTAGGGAGAGGCAGTTGCCCAATGTCTCTTCTACCCTCAAGTGGACACAGGTTAAAATTATGTGATGCACTTTTCTCTGGGGTGGGGAGGGTACGTAGGTGGGAGATGCACTTGGGCTTACTGTTACACACATAGTAAGGAATAGTTTGACGTGAAATTAACGAGGAGCTCAAATTCAAGAGAATTTGTATTTACCAATGACATTTTAGAATTATGGAAGCCACCAGTGTTTTGTCTTGTGTTCTTATGTTGTCCAGATGACTGATTTGGCTCCCTTTATTATAAATCAGTAGACCGTCCCTACCCTGTGTTCAAAGAGGCACGTGCAGATTCTGCTAGCAAAAGGAAAGGAGACCCAAGGCCACTCCAGAGACGGAGCTGTGCAATACTGACTTGGACATCCTTCTCTCCTGCAGGGCTTGCCTAACCACCACTGGAGAATCACTTTTATCAATAAGTGCTATGAACTGTGTGACACCTACCCTGCTCTCTTGGTGGTTCCATATCGTGCCTCAGATGATGATCTCAGGAGAGTCGCAACTTTTAGATCCAGAAACCGAATTCCAGTGAGTACTACAGTTAATGTTTTCTTCAAAGACTGCCTTTTGTCCCATAAGAACAGGAATCCAGTCAGAGACACACTCTTGGAATCTCAGTCCACCGTGTCGTTTTTGAGTGCCCGCTGAGCACACAAAGGACCGCGCTGAACGGGAAAAGAAGTGAGACTGCACCTGCCTTCTGGGAGTTCACAATCAAGGACAGAGAATGAGCGCAAGTAATTCTCATACAGGAGAGGGTAAAAGTGACGCTACCATACCTAAACCAGGTGCTTGCTGGAAGGACAGAAAGAAGTATAGGGACTTTCCGGTTTTCACCTTTGCAGCCCCATACCTTACGTGCGACAGGCCCTTGACAAGTGTCGGCCAAATCATACTGGAAACAACGCGCTATCTGTCTAATGTCACAGAGCACAGAGCACATGGGTACAGGCTTTTGTGTGCGGCCACCTTTATTAGGGTTAGCTCATCCTCATCATATTTGCCGGCTGCCCGAGTGCCAAATGCACATGATTCCAGATGGTATGCTTACAGTATCCTTGGACCTAGTTCACCAAGTTCTCTTTGGCTCTTGAATATTTATGTGAGTCACGCCATCTACTTTGTGTACATAAATTTTCTTGACTAGGGGCGCCTGGGTGGCGCAGTCGGTTAAGCGTCCGACTTCAGCCAGGTCACGATCTCGCGGTCTGTGAGTTTGAGCCCCGCGTTGGGCTCTGGGCTGATGGCTCAGAGCCTGGAGCCTGTTTCCGGTTCTGTGTCTCCCTCTCTCTCTGCCCCTCCCCCGTTCATGCTCTGTCTCTCTCTGTCCCAAAAATAAATAAACATTGAAAAAAAAAATTAAAAAAAAAAAAAATTTTTCTTGACTAAAAATTTAGAGAATTTTTCCTCTCTTAATTATCAGAGCATGTCATAATGAGTACATCGCTTTGTTTTTGTTTTTCTAAATAACAGATTTTGGAAAAACAAGGATAGAAGAAATTAAGATTTAATGTCACCTTGCCTTTAACTCCAAGTCTAGACATTTTTTTGTCCTTAAAAGGACATTCGTGTGAAACTTTGGTCTAGTGTCAACATAACAGGAATCATAACTTTAAAATTCGCTCCCTTCTCTAATTCTCAGTGTCTGTTCAGATCGTAATGATGTATATTGTATTTGAACGTGTTTTTCAGCTCATTTTGCTAGAATACAGTGCCAACGAAGCTAGAATTACAAGTTTATTCCTCTCGTGCTCTTCTGCGACATACTTTTCTGTGTTGTAGCCATAGACTCCACCCCTGCCTTGGCCAGCTGTCTTTGCTAATACTTGTCTTGCCCACAGGAGGAAGAGGTTAGGGTAGTGTGGATCGACTTTGTTCATGCCTTCATTCAGTTGAACGTCTACCATGAGAAACGTGTGTGTGTGTGTGTGTGTGTGTGTGTGTGTGTGTGTGTGTGTGTGTGTATTTCATGGGATTTGGGTCAGGAGAGGTGGTGTGTGTGTGTGTATTTCACAGGATTTGGGGCAGGAGAGGAGAGGTGTGTGTGTGTGTGTGTGTGTGTGTGTGTGTGTGTGTGTGTATTTCACAGGATTTGGGGCAAGAGAGGAAGGGTGTGTGTGTGTGTGTGTGTGTGTGTATGTATTTCATGGGGTTTGGGTCAGGAGAGGAGAGGAAACAAGTGTGCTCAGGCTGCCATCTTGACCCCCTAGTTTCCACTCTTCTGAGTGAATGAGAGCCCACTGTAGAACACATAAGATGCATAACTTTTTACTTATTTACCCATTTTATTGATCCTTCTTACTTCATAGTGGCCACAAATTTACATTTATTTTTCCTAATAAAACTAAAGCTAAGCTCTCCTTCACATCTATATCTTTATAGATTACCATGCTTAATCATATTTAATAGTAGATAATGTACTTTTTCTGATATACCTCATAACCATCTGACTCTTGACTATAACCCAGAAAATGCATTTGCTTTTAATGTGAAATCCTTACTATTTGATATTCAGTTCTTTTTTTTAAGAAAGCCCATGTAAAAATACAAGAAGAATTGATGAGAAAGCAGCTTTGTTATTTGTACATAAATAGCATATGAACTATTATAAGATACCATTTAATAACAAAATGATCCACATGCATTGATGTTCCCATCAATGCATACATATGTTCTCTTATGCATTCCTTTTTCTCCCATAGGTTTGTCTTAATGTTACAGAAGTCCTTAACATATAAGTAACACATAGTTACTTCACATATTTTACAAAATGCTGATAAAGAAAAAGGATTCTGCCACCTAGTGAGAACCACAGTTAACATTTTGGTCTATGTCCTTCCAGACTTCCTTCTATGCATACATATTTTTATTTGGAAAGAAAAAGAAATTATGCTGTCATTTGTGTCTCTGCTTTCTCTGTGTAACATTATCTTGGAAAGAGCGTTTCCTGCTGTTAAACATCTGTGTGCCAGTGTGTACATGTACCATATGTATTTAATCAGTTTTCTATTATGAGGCATCTTGGTTATTTTTTTATTTTTTTGCTATTATAAACAACGCTGTGATCAACATCTTTTTTGGTGGCTAAATATTTGTGTACATCCTTAATTATCTATGGCTTCTAGATATTAACTTTAGTAGGAATAACCTAATATACTACCATATACTTTGAAAGCAGTCATGGTAGTTGATGTTGTGAAGCTACTATTATTTATACCTGTGAGCCAAACAGCAAGCATCCTTTTAAAAAGGTAGTCAAGGGGTGCCTGGGCGGCTCAGTCAGTTAAGCATCTGACTCTTATTTTCGGCTTGAGCCATGATCTCATGGTTTATGAGTTTGAGCCCCGTGTTGGGGGTCTATGCTGACAGCGCAGAGACTGCTTGGGATTTTTTCTCTCCCTCTCTCTCTGCCTCTTCTCTGCTTTCTCTCTCAAAAATAGGGGCTCCTTGTGGCTCAGTGGGTTAAGCGTCTGACTTTGGCTCAGGTCATGATCTCACAGTTCGTGGGTTCAAGCTCTGCATCGGGCTCTGTGCTGACAGGTTGGAGCCTGGAGCCTGCTTCGGATTCTGAGTGTCCCTCTCTCTCTGCCCTGCCCCCACTTACACTCTCTCTCAAAAATTAATAAACATTAAGTAAATAAATAAATATTAAAAAAAATAAAAAGGTAGTCAAGATCCCTCAAGAAAAAGAAAAGAGGAAGTGAAACAACTTATAAGAGAAGCGTTTCTTAATGTGATCTGGTGACTCCAGCCTTAAACTTCCCGAGCAGAGAGAAGAGGGGTGGAGGAAGGGAAGGCATGGGTGGTGGCACAGGGCGGTGTCTTGCCCAGGACCTGATTTCAGTTTAAAACTTGGGAGGGTCTCTGTCAAATAATAGGTCTCTTATGTGTAGCAATTTTCTCTTTTGAAAGTGATCTTGTATCAGATCAACATGTTGTACAGCTTAAACTTCCACAGTGCCGCATGTCACTTACATCGCAGTAAACCTGAAAAATGACAACTCCGTGCACATGTCAAAGTGATCTCGTGTCTCTTACTGGTCTTAAAGCGAGGGCCACAGGAGGCAGGCTGGGCAGGTCCCATCTCCACCTTGTTGGTTACAAAGTGGAGGTCGGGGAGGGCCAGTTCTTGTTCCGGGGCTTCCCACTTCTCAGCCTTTGGACTCTTAGGAGTCACAGTGGTGTTTTGTACAGGTCTCTTCATGGCGTGAAGAGTCCATGAATGAGTATTCATTAATGCCGTCACATCCTCTTTTCTCGCTAACCCAATGTCGGCATCATGTACATCGATTTTCATGGACATCAGTGCTTATCATTTGCCGTCATGGAGGGGGCGACTTCAGGGATGACCGCGCATTTGGCCTTCTATTAAGTGAGCTCAGACACTTCTGCTTCTTTAGTTCTTCTGTCTGCTTTTCATAGTTTTTCATATCTGACTCCGTGGGCTGCTCAGCTCGCCCCTGGAAGGTACTTCACCTGTGTTTTTCATTCATCCTCCCAGCAGGGCCATGGAGTCATGCTCCTCCTCATTCGATGGCGGAGGAGACAGAAGTGACACAGACTGTGAGCTCAGTACCCAGGCTACAGCCACAGCAGACATGTGCTTCACATCTACATGAGCTGTAGATGTGAGTTGGTATTATGGAGACACGTTGTACCAGACGTGATTTCCTTTACGTATCACTGAGAAATCCAGTACAAGCTACAGAGCAGAAGTAATATCAGAAGCCTTTTATTTCCTTTAAGCGAGAGAACTTTTTTTTTTTTCGGTAAGCATTTAACTTCTACAAGAAAACACTAGTAAAGCAATTGGTATTCTAGCTGCCTCTGGATAATTGTCACTGTTAAATGTGTGTTGCTGAGCACATTGCGTAAAATCGCAGGTGAACCGGTATTCTGTTTTGGCAAAATCAGATTCACTTCCTCATGATTGTTAGTGCTTTCTGTTTTGGGTATTTCTGTTTTGAGATTTGTTTTTTTCCTGATAGCTTAAAATTTCTGAACTAACCTTAGGTGCTGTCATGGATTCATCCAGAAAACAAGACCGTCATCGTGCGTTGCAGTCAGCCTCTTGTCGGTATGAGTGGTAAACGGAATAAGGATGATGAGAAGTATCTCGATGTTATCAGGGAGACTAATAGACAAATTTCTAAACTCACAATCTATGATGCAAGACCCAATGTAAATGCAGTGGCGAACAAGGTGAGTGCATTTAGTGACATGACAGATGCTTCTCTTAGATACAGTGTGCCATGTTTTACATGATTGTGTTTGCCGCGGCATGTCACTTTGTGGGCTTACGTTAATAGTTAAACTTAGTTGAAATAGGAAGACTACTTTGCTGACATAGGAAGTAGTTTTAATCACAAAACGTATTTTAAAACGTGAATCCGTTAAATGAGAATAACCTTTAGGTAAATTAGATGAGTATCGAACTATAATGAACTTCAATCCTGGCGCAAGTTCAGCCCTCTTTGGAGTGCCTTAGGCATCTACGAGGAGTTGTGGGAAGCTGCAATGGTTAAACCCTAAATCTGTAGCTTCATCCAAACGGTCTCTTCACTGCACTTGTTAATGTGCCTGCTCATTTATATAAGATAATTCAGTAAAAGGAGATTTCTGTATATGGATTTTACAATCAGGCACACACAATGTTACTGTTTTCAGCGGCAATCTGTCTCCATTGTCTTCTTGGCCTTCTTAAGCAGAGTGTGCCAAGTGCCCCTAAAATTGGTCGGGGACGTCGCTGTGAACATCAGTGACTATGTAGTGTTGCTTTCAGAAGCTCCCCAGAAGTTGCCGCAAGATATAAGGCTGTTTGCCCGGACTCTAAACAGCCCCAGATTGATATGCTTTTAACATTCGATTTCTTCTTTTCGTTTTGTGTTTTCCGTCTCCTGTTATTGCCAGCTGTCACTCGCAAGTGCTCACAGTGGGCCTGCCCCGCGTTGTTCGCCACCATTCCGCCTTTCAGATTTATTGTTTCTCGTCAGCTGTAGGCTTAAATTTCATCATCTTGAATACTTTGCTTATCCCGAGGTCACTTTTCTGGCATCTTCAATTATTCATAGCACAAGACAAGAACCCAAAAGCAAAACACATCCTCCAGTGGCTCAGAGAGAGATGCAGACTGTGGTTGTTTGCACACGGATCGTGTATCTTCCACATTTGCATCGGGGGTGGGGGTCCCCTCTGCTCCCTGTGTGCTCTTGGACAAGCTCTCTATTACTGCAGTAACAGTTTTTGTCTCACTAATGGAAATCATTTGGAAATTCTATGTAAAGCAATCAGGAGTGGTATGCATGAGTAAATTAGGAATTATAAGTAAAACATGTAGTAAATTAAGTCTAACTATGAATATCTTCTTGCATTCTTCATAACTTTAGATATTTCTGTTCCTTCCCTCATATATAGTTGAGAGTTCAAAACATGCATAAAATGCAATATCTGCATGTACACATTTAGCCTGAAATAGATATGGTGTTACATCAAAATGAAGTATTTAGAAAGAATATTTTAAAATATGTAAATGTATAAAACAAATACCTTCATCATATTAACTCTCAAGCTTACTGCTATAGCCGTAGAATTCTTGAATGCCTTTTTAACACTCAGGAAATATGCCTGTGTTGCTAGTCCTGTTAGGGATGAAGGGAAGAAAAAAATTAAGGAAAAAACCTAGGCTTTAAAGATCTCTGCAGCATTCTTTAAAAACCAAGCTCTGGTTCCCTCCTCCCTTGGCTGTGTCTCTCCCCTCGTCATCTATATCCATAGCAACAGGCCCTTGAACCTTCGCGTTGTCATATTAGATAATCTGGGTTGTTCCTTTCTGTTGAAGAGAAGGAAACTGAAAAGACTTCCAAAGTAACCAGAGATAGAGAATTGGAACTTTTGGGAACTCAATCTATGCTTGACTAATTGATTTTTACCCTTGTGACTTCTGTTCTCTTTGGACCTAATTGTTCCTCCCTTGTGGAGATTTAGAAATTTACAACCTCCGATGTAATAAGCGACATTACACCATTTTAAAGTAAACAAACCAACCCCAGGCGTAGATAAGTCTCAGCACCAGGCTGCTTCAATTTGGTGGCGGTCTGCTGTGATTAGAGTGGAACTGCATTAATGCCTGTCTTTGCTCTGGCAATGAGCAGCAAGTATAGTTTTCCTTTTATTTTTTTTATTTTTGCATAGTATCTTCAGTTATGTATGAAAGAAACTCCAGCATTGAGAATCTCTTTGCAAATCACTGTAGCTTTTTAAAAACCACATGTGTAGAGAAGCAGGTCAGCTCTGGGAGGGTGACGTGTGTCATTGCTTTATAGGCTTGCAGCTCCAGCAAAACTTAGGCCTGCTATCTCCTCCCAGGCCGGGAGCCTGCAGCTTAGGAAGTGACTGCCAGGTGGATAGGAGCGCCTCTGTCTTGGCCTCTGATCTGAGCTGCAAAGTGCTATGCCCTGAGGCATGGATAACCAACAACAGGGAAATACGGCTCATCTGTCTATTCGTTAGCTAATAACTTTTTAAAAACGGTAATGTGAATGTGTATTGTCTACTTACTACTAATGATGCTGTTAGTAACAAGCTCTAAAATATATGTTATATATTCTTCCTATTGTTATAAATAAAAAGAGGCAAAATATAGCAATAGCACATTTGTCCAATGCCTTCCCCTTCCATTTCAGCTTATAGAACATTGCTTTCTTGGCAAGTCTATGAATTATTTAACTTTTTCTTAAGGGGCCAGAGGCCACATGTTCCATGGCATGTTAAAACATTTAACAAAATGCAGCCAGGTTCTTCAACAAAACCATTATATTTCTTTTTCTCTACGTGGAAAATGGGTATCTTCACCCCATTGTGAAGGTGGACGGATGCCTGCCCTGGCAAGATAATACTTTCAGGTGCTGTGGTGTAGGTGGTGGCCATCTTGTCTCCCCTCGAAACCTTTTGCTCTTTGAGGGCCTACTACGTGCGGCTCTCTGTCCTTGGTGTTTGCACAGCAGACAGTCATGGTGCACTAGAAAAGGTTTGGGCTTTGAACTCAGCGTGAATTCTGTTGATTACCATGGGGCTTTGGGGATCGTTAAATAGTATCTCTTCTCTTTTGCAAAATGGGGATAGTAATACCTCCCTTGCTTGCAGCATTGCTGTAAGAATTAGATAAGATTATGGAAAGCAAGAATCAGTATCTGGAACCTCACTGGGGCTCATTAAATGGTGGCTGGTGTTAGCTGTGATAGAGTGTGCCTCCTTTTAATCCTGTTTAACCTACTGAAGTGTTATTGCCTATTCTGTGGGAGAGAACGTTGAGGCTCAGGGAGGTTGAGAGCCTTGCCTCAAATCACATAGCAAAGAGGGGCCAAAGCGCCTCCACCCCCTTCTACCCCCCTCCACCGCTGCTGAAGAAGAGTACTTCTACAGAGCTGATAGAGGACAAGGACCCTTGAGAACCTGCTCATGCCTTTCCAGATCCAGAAGAAGAGCTAGTAATTATGGAACATTTTGAAATGATTTTTTTCTTGTGAATACAGATCCCCAGGAAATTGCCAGCCCGCTATTTTCTTCTAGCTCAGAGTGTGACTAATGTTGTTGAGGCTGTGTTGGGTAGGAAGTCAGGTCACATCAGTCATCGCATCTAAGTCGGAAGGTTTTAAGTTGAGATTTGGAGGACCGGTAACTTGAAATATTTGGCTAAATTACTGATGAAGTAGAAAATCCAACTGATTGTTTGTATATCTTGCTGTTTCTCAGGCAACAGGAGGAGGATATGAAAGTGATGATGCATATCACAACGCTGAACTTTTCTTCTTAGACATTCATAACATTCATGTTATGAGGGAATCTTTAAAAAAAGTCAAAGACATTGTTTATCCTAATGTGGAAGAATCTCACTGGTTGTCCAGTTTGGAGTCTACTCACTGGTTAGAACACATCAAGGCAAGTAAATATATATATATATTTTTTTTATGTTTATTTATTTTTGAGAGAGAGCAGGGGAGGGGCAGAGACAGAGAGGGAGACACAGAATCCGAAGCAGGCTCCAGGCTCTGAGCTGTCAGCATAGAGCCCAATGTGGGGCTCGAACTCATCAACCATGAGATCATGACCTGAGCCAGAGTTGGATGCTTAGTTGACTCAGCCACCCAGGTGCCCCAAGGCAAGTATATTTTTTTTTAAAAAAAGATTTACATGTATAAAAAAGGAAGTCATTGTTTAGTGGAACAGGAATCTCTTTTAATTCCTTCAGTTTTAAAATTGAGCAGTTATTTGTAGTGTAGGGTTCTACATTTGACGGTTTTGTGTCTCTTTATAATTTGCTTACCTAAATTACAGATTGCACAGCATCACTCCAGAACAGTTTGAGTGTTGGTAGAAATGTCACTTCCCGTGTTGTCGATAGCAAGTAGTTGGGGTTTCATGCAGATTTATTTAGGAACAGCCAATTGATTATCTAACCGTTACTGGGTATGACCCTCAAGGACCTAGAGATAGATTGTTTTTATTGAAAATAATCTCAAATTGACTTATTTTAAAGAATGAACTTTATGCCTTGATTATATCCTTCATCTTGATAAAGGCATCAAAAGCCTGCAGTCTTTAAGAATAAAAGTACTTGAAGCTATCTGAGGAAACTAACACTTTTAGAAACCACCATTTAGTTCTGTAAACAAACAAAAAGCCCACTTTAAATAGGTGCATTTTTGATATAGATTATTTTCTAGTCAAATTGTACTTTCAAATTTGATAGGAATCATATTTCTCTTTTGCCTGTCTATAACTTTCATTTTTTTCTTAATTCATTATTCTCAAAAAGGAGTTAGCAAAACAAATTAATTGTGACAGCTGAAGGTAACGTGGGGTCCTGGATGGCAGCCTGCTTTAGAAAAAGGACATTAAATAGAAACTAAGGAGACCTGAATAAAGTATGCGCTTTATTAAAAATAAGTTAATATGCTCATTGATAATTTCATAGTATGTCAATATCGCTTCACTGGTTGTGACAAATGTACCACACCATTATAGGAGGTCAGGAATAGGGCAAACTGGGTCGAGTATATGCGAACTTTCTGTAGTACCTTTATAACTTTTCTGTAAATCTGAAACTATTCTAAAATAAACATTTATTTTTTTAAAAAAGTAGTATTAGAAACAAAATTACTACCATTTTCAGAATATATATGTATCAGTTTGTTAAAACCAGAGTTAAATAAAATTAGTAAAAGGTAAACAAAAAAGTAGTGTACTCTTATATGCAAAGCATCACACTAGACCTCATGAATGGAAGAAGGTATGAGACATACTTCTGCCTTTAAGGAGGTTTGTGCGGTTGAAGACGTGGTATGTACGTGTGACAGGAAAGCTTCTGCTCCTTGCTGCAGTGTGTTAAGTGGAAGGGACGAGGGAACCCATTCTAGAGAAGGAGGCACTCTGAACCAAAGTCCAGGAACAGGCCTGGGGGAGGCCCCGTTGGGAAGAGTGAGGAATGCTGGAGTTGCAGGTTCATCTCAGAGACCTGGGAGAAGCCAGGTGGTCAGAGGCCTTGGCCATGAAGCTAGGTTGTTGGAAGCCCCAGAGGTTTTGGAATAGTGAAGTAGTAGGAAAATGTTCTGGCAGGTTCTTATAGGAAAGGGAAGAAGGTAAAGTCAGAAAACAATCACTTCAGGTATCCTGAGGCAGGGTGGTAATGGTCAGAATTAGAACATGTCCAGGTGGGGAGGGGGGCACTATGAAAGGGACAGACAGGAGAGCTTTCCGAGAAAGGGCCTGTGGGCTTGATGATTACCTAGATGCAGGGTCTCAAGAAATGTAGGCTGATACCAAGAGGGTGAAGCTGGGTAACTGGGATGATGACACCACCATTTGCAGATGCAAGATTGTCCTGAGCAGGGTCTTGGTTAAGAAAAACATCATCTGTTTGAGGCAGCGGCGGGCCATCCACCTGGTGATAGGTAACAGGCAATTTTCTTCCTGCAAAGCGGAACTCAGAACAGGGGCTTGGGACTGAGATGGAAACGTGAGAATCAGCTGTTGGGCAACCAACTCAAGCTGAGCCCTTTAATGACCCTGAGAGGGACACATTAGCAATGATTCTTGCTGAGTTCATGGGATTATGGTCATTTTTAGTTTCTTTTTTGCGCTTTTGTTCACCTTCTCCATTTTTATCCAGTGACTATATATTACTTTTGTAAATAAGGGAGAGAGCTTTTTTTCTGAAAGACAGGGCACAGGCACAGGCACAGGAATTATTAGACAAGGTGAGTCAGCTCCTACTCTGAACTAGATAGAAGAGAGACTGGTCAGAAGTAGGTCTTCTTCAATGGCTCACATGTCTGAAGAAATTAGGAGTCAAGGCCATTGCATAAGATGAAGTATGGAAGTTAGGACTTAAGGAATATGGAAAATGCCATAAAAGACCCCTGTAAATTTTTATCGTTTTGCCCAAAGAGAGGGAGATACAAAAGAAATGAAAGAAACTGTCATTGTTCTGTCTGGAGACCATCTGTAACTGGGGAGCCCAGAGAAACACCTGTAATGACATCTGACTCACGGCTACTTAGGCATAGGTCAAATTGTGCTAGAAGACAGAGGAGTAGAGTTATGGGTAGCGTTGAGCTCGACCTTGAAGATCAGGTGGGAATGGGGGAGCACGTTTGGGCTGTGCTGCTTCTGGAAGCTCTAGAGGAGAATCTGTTCCTCGCCTCTTCTAGCTTCAGGTGGCTGCTGGCGTTCCTTGCTGTGGCCAGATCACTTCAGTCTCTGCTTTCACGATCATGTTGCCTTCTCTCTGTGAAATCTCCCTCTGCTCCCTCTTTTTAATTTTTTTTTTTCAACCTTTATTTATTTTTGGGACAGAGAGAGACAGAGCATGAACGGGGGAGGGGCAGAGAGAGAGGGAGACACAGAATCGGAAACAGGCTCCAGGCTCTGAGCCATCAGCCCAGAGCCTGACGCGGGGCTCGAACTCCCGGACCGCGAGATCGTGACCTGGCTGAAGTCGGACACTTAACCGACTGCGCCACCCAGGCGCCCCTCCCTCTGCTCCCTCTTATCAGGATATATGGGATGGAATTTAGGGCCCACCTGCATAATCCAGGATAACCTCTCCATCTCAAAGTCATTATCTTGATCACATCTGTAAAGTCTCTGTTAACCATATAAGGCGGTATTCACAGATTTGCAGGGGCTAGGACCCAGCCATCTTTGGTGAGCATTATTCAGCCTCCCATGCTATTTTGTGGCCCCAGGACTACTGATAGACACGTGGCATGGCCACCACTAGCCTGCGTTCAGGCAAAACGGTCCGACCACTCTGTGCATCACAGGGCAGGCTTTGCGAGCGAAGAGACCACCACCTTGGCACGTGTCCTATATTGTCATTCTAGTTCACCGATGGAGCCCTGACAGGGTAGAGTGTCTCTCTCTGTTTCCTGGAGCTTACATTTTTTCTCTGCCCTTTTCTCTTTTTTTATGTTTATTTTTGAGAGAGACAGAGACAGAGCAAGGGAGGAGCAGAGAGAGACACACACACATAGAATCTGAAGCAGGCTCCAGACTCTGAGCTGTCAGCACAGAGCCCAACACGGAAGTCACGTTTGTCTCTTTTAGTCCAACAGAAGCTGGTGGTGGGGGCGGGTACCATTACTTTAGAAAGGAACCACAATTCTGTGATTGGCTCAATGTGTCACATGTCATTACATAACTACCAGGCGTTCCTGTCAAGAAGCAATGGCGGGAATTCATACCCTATTGGCAAACATCTAATAATTTCTAAAGATAATTGGCTGAGATTGCGTTCTTTTTCGTGATAAGGGACGTGTCTGGAGTGAAGTTGCCCTCTGTAAAAATGTTCCTTCAGTTGAACTCAAGTGACCTGCTGCATTACCACTGCTTCTCAACAGCCCTTTCTTCACAAGCACCTTAAATAAAAACTGTAAACGGGAGTTTGAGGAGATACTTAGAACGCTAGAAGAAATAAAGCTGCGCTAGTCATTTTAAAAACAGTGATTTTTGCACAAATAATTGATGTGCCATCAGGTCCCCTAACCTGTCCTTCTTGGGACTACTTTGTCCACTTATCTTTGGTTACTGTTTATGTCAACATGATAAAAATACCTATTTTTAGGGGTGCCTGGCTGGCTTAGTCTGCAGAGCAAGCTATTCTTGATTTTGGGGTCGAGTGTTCAAGCCCCACATTAGGCATAGAGCTTACTGAAAAATAAGTAAATGAAAAACCAGATCTTTCACTTACTCTTTTCCTTGAATTAGTGAAAGCGACCATAATACTTGACTGTTGCACAGCTGTTACAATTTGGGGAGCCCCCAAATGGCGTCATGTAGGTGAATGGCTGATGAACGCATGAAAAGACAGGGCCCTCGTACACTGACAGTGGCAACGTGAAGTGGTACAACGGCTTTTGAAAACAGTTTAGCAGTTTCTTAAAAAGTTAAATAAGTACACATTAGCGTGTGAGCCAACCATTTCACTCTTAGGCATTTACACAGGATAAATGAACACTTAAGTCCCTAGAAATGTGTGTATGTGCATCATTCATAGTAATCAAATACGAGAAACAACTACATGTCTATCAGCTGATGAATGGATAGATAAAATGTGATCTGTCAATAAAATGGAATTTTTTTTGGCCTTAAAAAGGAAGGAAGGACTGATACAGGCGACAACATGGATATACCTTAAAAACACGCTGCTGAGTGCATTAAGCCAGTCAGGGTGCCTGGGCAGCTCAGTCAGTTAAGTGTCTGACTTTGGCTCAGGTCATGATCTCCCAGTTCATGGGTTCAAGCCCCATGTCGAGCTCTGTGCTGACAGCTCGGACCTGGAGTCTGCTTCAGATTCTGTGTGTGTGTCTCTCTTTCTGCCCCTCCCTGCTCATATTCTCTCTTTCTCTCAAAAATAAATAAACATAAAAAAAAGACCACCTATTTTATTATTCCATTTATATAAAATTTTTAGTAAACACAGAACTGTAGAGAAAGAAAGCAGATCATTGGTTGCCAGGAGCCGAGGAAGGGAGCAGGGTTTGACCTCAGATGGCACACGAGACTTTTTATGGGTGATGGGTTGTGATGATGGTTGCACAACTGTATAAATTTACAAAACCTTACCAAACCACACACTCATGGGTAAATTGTATGGTTCGTAAAGGATTACTCCATAAACACCTAAATCATCCAAAAATGACATTGTGGCAATAAGTGTTTGTGTACATAAATTTAGTAGTACTTCTAAGTCTCAAACTTTTACTAGAAGGCCATCCCTGTATCCTTACATAAGTATTCTACTAGTGAGCCACAGAGTAGTTCATATTTTGTCAAAGGCTCAGAGGTGATTTCCACTGTATCAGGCCTTTAGGGTCTAGACCTATTGGACCAGTGATTTTTCTAAAATGATCACTGTTACGAGCTGAATTGTGTCTCCTCCCCCCCCCAAATTCATATCTTGAAGTCCTGAGGTACACCCTCCCCGTCCCCCCACCCTCCGTACTTCAGAGTATGACCTTTTTAGAAATAGGGTCAGTGCAGGTGCAGTTAGTTAAGATGAGGTCCTACTGGAGTAAGGTGGGCCCTTAATCCAGTAAGCTAGTAAAAAACTGTAATTTCACATTTCAGCAGTCTCTTACAGCCACCTACTGACTCACGTGTTCTTTGCCAGCTTGTTTTGACGGGAGCCATTCAAGTAGCAGACAAAGTTTCTTCAGGGAAGAGCTCAGTGCTTGTGCACTGCAGTGATGGATGGGACAGAACTGCCCAGCTGACGTCCCTGGCCATGCTGATGTTGGACAGCTTCTACCGGAGCATCGAAGGGTTTGAAATACTGGTACAGAAAGAATGGATAAGTTTTGGACATAAATTTGCATCTGTAAGTAAACCATAAAGCTCATTTTTTAAATGTCAGATCACTGCCATTTGAGATGTAAAAACTAGTCATTAAACCACATATTTGCTTTTGAAAAGGAAAATCCGAGGAATTGAATGATAAAAATCCGAGGGATTGAATGATAAGGACTCTACGGGTGTGAAAACGTGTGATGCCTGGGGTCAGGTAGAAGTTGTTTTAGGAGACTTCTTTATCCATCTGCACTATTTACAGTTTGATTTGAAAGTAATACCAGAAGCCTGCATGAAAATGTTCACGTTGACTTTGTGTGAAAGGAGGAGAATAGGGTGACAATTCTTTCTCAACTACTATTAGAGCTATTAGAGCCAAATACATTTTACAGAGATACTAGATTCTTATTATTCTGATACACACATTTCCAGTTCTCGGTTCCAGATATCCTTTGCATAACCCTTCTGAACAAGATCACTCAGGTGATGGTCATCCACATTTCCTAAGTAGTGTGAATAACATTTTCAAGTAGAAAGAATCATGGTTAATAAAAGAATAAATGGTGAGGCTTTTGTCTTGTTTTTAAGAGAGAAAGAACTTACTTTTAATGATAATGATAACACCCTTTTGGACCCAGCTTCAAGGCTTCAAACTTGAGGGTTGGTCCCTTCGTGCCACTGACATAACCGCAGAGTCATCTGGCCCTGTCTTCCTGCAGCTGCCCTGGACTGGTACAGAATTCCAGTCAGATGAAATAGTTGGAGCACATGTGTTGGTATTGCTATTTTATAGATGTTTATATACTTGATTTCCATTAGTTCAAAATTTGGCATTGGAAAGCAGATCATGGACTTGTCACATTTTGTGGGTTGTATGCTTTCTCAGTCTCGTGCCCTTAAATTATAACAAATCGTCTTCATCAATTCCTTTTAGAGAATAGGTCATGGTGACAAAAACCATGCCGATGCTGACCGATCTCCTATTTTTCTCCAGTTTATTGATTGTGTATGGCAAATGTCAAAACAGGTAAGGGATATATAGGATAAAGATATGTTTGACTCAGTGTTTAAATATTTTGTTCTAATATCTGGGATTTGCCTCATCTCTATTTACATTTGTATGTTAATAATCGTTGCAGCCGGATGATGGGTATATGGGGTTTGCGGTCTTATTCTCACTACTGTTTATGTCTGGGATTTTCCATAATGTCTTAAAAATTCAATATCTAACTGCAGCATCTCTATTAACGGAATTGACAGTACATGTATACAGGCATGTGTATATAGCTATGCCTGCTAACATATGACACCATAAATAATAAAACTACCCTATATGCCCTGTGCACCGAGGAGAACTGAGATAATTGGCTTGCTTTCCTATTTAGTTATTCAGTTATTTTATTTTGAGAGACAAAGACAGAGTAAGCAGGGGAGGGGCAGAGAGAGAGGGAGAGAGAGAATCCCAAGCACGCTCTGCACTGTCAGCACAGGGCCCAGTGCTGGGCTCGATCCCACGAACTGTGAGATCATGACCTGAGCCGAAACCAAGAGTCGGAAGCTTAACCGACTGAGCCACCCGGGCACCCCTACTCGACTCTCCTTTAAACCCCTCAGTCCTGTGCACAGCACCAAGAAAAGAGCTGTAGGATGTGTGCGGATTATGCACCTCTTTTCAGTTCTGTAAGAGATCAGCCTCAAGTTTTCATGCTTTGTTGGCTTGTTTGCTTTTGTCTAGTTCCCTACAGCTTTTGAATTCAATGAACGGTTTTTGATTACAATTTTGGATCATCTGTATAGTTGCCGGTTTGGTACTTTCTTATACAACTGTGAATCTGCTCGAGAAAGACAGGTGAGTGGAAATGCTAATCGTTTTAGTTAAATGCGTCTGGTCTTTCCTGAAGGAAGAAGGAAAACAAAACGATAGCTTGGTTTGTGTGAAATGCAAATGTTTCTCATTTTTCACCACTGAGCCTGGGTGCTTTCACTTCAGCCAGGGCTTGTTGAGTGTCTGCTATTCAGTGCAGGGGTAAGACACTAACTTTGCCCTCAGAGAGTAGGAATGACTTTAAAGGTATGCAAGGGCTCCTTCCCAAAACACCATAAAAATGTCAGTAGAGGAAATTGTTTTAAAGGCATAAACCTACAAGAACAGGGAAGATGAAAAAGGAGATGTGGCAACCAAATTTTAGAAGCTGATAAGTTTGTAGACTACGTAGCTTGAGAAACTGAGTCTCAGATCAGCAGCGGGGGAGCCAGGAAGCAGCCCTCTTTGCACTGCCTAGAGTCCCAGATGACTCGGGTTTTCGGGCAGAGCGGAAGGATAAGACCACCCGAGGGTCTGTTGGGAATCAGCAATTAGCCTCCTCAGATCCCCTCCACTCTTCTGGAGCTGAGGACTCTGGCAGAGTGAGTCTGTGGGCAGGGGACCCGAGTGTCACCTGGGGGTGAGGCGAATGGAGAGGAACTGACTCTGAGGGCCGCAGCTTCTTTCCCCTACTGACTCCCAGCATTCTGGAAGCAAGTCCTCACGTTCCGGGAAGGAGCATGGAAGAACCTCTGTCGGTGAGGGTCGGGGGACAAAATGGAGCCCTCGGCCATTGTTGGTGGGGATGCAAAATGGTGCAGCCACAGTGGAAGACCGTGTGGTGGCTCCCTCAGAAGGCTAAACATGGAGTTTTCCTAGGACCCAGCAATTCCACTCCTACGTACATACCCAAGGGAAATGAAGGCAGAAGTTGAAACAAAAATTCGCACACAGATGTTCACAGCAGCACTACTCACGATAGCTAAAAGGTGGCAACGACCCCAGGTCCATCAGCGAGGACGGGAGAAACAGAATGTGGTCTATGTATACTCTGGAATACTATTCAGTGATAAAAAGGAATGAAGTCAGGGTCCAGGCAACAGCATGGACAAACCTTGAAAACATGCTAAATGAGGGGAGCCAGACACAGAGGCCACGGATCGCATGATTCCATTTATTTGAAATGTCCAGAATAACAAGTACATCGAGGCAAGAAAGCAGATGAGTGTTTTCCAGGGGCGGGAGGGGAGAATGGGGGGTGCCTGCTTAATGGGTATGAGGTTTCCATTTGGAGTGATGAAAATATCTCAGAACATGTTCCATGTGGAGTGATGAAAATATCTCGGAACGTGAGAGAGGTGATGGTGGCACAGCTTTTGTGAGTGTACTGGATTGTAGACTTTAAAATGGTGAGTGTTATGGTATGTGAATTCCACTTCAGTTAAAAACAATCATCTCTGGGGAAACTGGCCTGAGAAGAAGGACCTAAAGATACCAACACCTACGGTTCCCCACAGTGAAGCTCAGCTTGACAAGCCTCATGATCCGAGAGCTTCCAGTCGGCTCTTTAGCCGTCCGCTCTTAAATTGTAGCAGACAGCCAGGAGTGAGAAAAAGCAGCGTGGAGAAAAGAGTTACCAGGTAGGGAGGGCAGAAACGCACACAAGCAGTCATCATTTAATATCCCAAGAAAGATCAGAAAATGTTGGTGGTGAGAGGTAATAACAGGATGTTGTTTGGAAAGACCGTTTCGAGATCAGAAACCAACTTGAAATGAAACACATGATGTCCACAGAAATGAAAATCTCAGAAGAAGAGCTGGAAGAGGAGGTGAAATCTCCCAGAAAGACCATTAGAGATAGAGGTGGAATATGGAGACCAGATCACTCCTGGAGATCCAAAATCCACATAGTAGAGGTTCTAGAAAGAGAAAATTGGGAGGCCATAGAGCAGGAAATCACAGAAATAATTTGAGAATGTTTCCCAGAATTGAAGTACATGAGTTTCCACATTGAAAAGCCTGCCAAGGGCCCCAGTGCAGTGGAAAAAAATAGACCCCTACTAACACACATCTCCATGAAGTTTCAAAACAACCGGGGACAAAGAAAAGATCTTCCAAGCTTCCAAAGAGAAAAGGAACAGGTTATTTGCAAATAAGCAGATTGAGAACACAAAATTGTTCAGTATCAGTATTGGAAACTAGAACTCAGTAGATCATTGCCTTCAGAATTTTGTTTATTTTTTTAGAGAGAGAATGAGAGTGCACGCAGGAGCAGGGGAGAGGGGGAGAGAGAGAGAGAGAGAGAGAGAGAGA